CGCCGCGCGGAACGGCGCAAAAACCCGCCGCCGACAAATGAGGCGGGCGCGGCCGGCGCCCCTTTGTCTCCGTAATCGGCGCGGGGTCAGCGGGGGCAAGGCCAGGTGACCGGCAGTGGCACGCCATGATGACACGGGACAACGGCACGGCACGAGATGGCGCGCTGCTCCTCCGCTTGCGACACCCGGATGCGTCGTAGGTGTGGAGGCGTCCGAAGGTGGGCCCCAGTAATTTTATTCACGTCGCGTTGTTGCGTTAGGAAGCCTTCATCTTTCTGAGTAAATGTTATGCATTATGATCTCATAATTTGATAAGTTCGGTAACAGGTAAGGCCTCTCTAGATCAGATTGTTATGACTCACGACACGACTTGTTATGACTAACGAATGATAGGCAAATGTTTAACACAGGTAATACAATGTTCTAATTCAGCATATCAACAGTGAAAATGTCGGCTACCAGCGGTGCACAAGCAATTTTGTCTTTTTTCAATCAGTCAGTAAATGCCGAATGCTCCCAACACCGACCTTCGTCATTCGCAACACTACCTGTCAAAATCAAAATATCCGCGACGCCGTTCAGAAAAGCTTGCAAGTGGACTATCACTCGTAAACTTTGGATATTTGCACGTGCAGTGACCAGTGGTCTGACAGTCGGCCCCCCGCCATCAGGCAGTCAGACATCCCGCCGCATCACTCGACAGGCGGGGCAACACCAGCTATAGCAGAGCCAATGACGACGTGCCCGACGACGTGGTCTGCCCCAGCAAAACGGCCATGGGGTGCCGACTCAGGACGGCGCGCATGTGCGCTGTGCTAGTCTATCGACTAGCCCAGAAGATAATGGAGAAAATAGAACACCAATGACCAGTCTTGCAAGAAATTGTGGGAAAACTTAATCGAAAAACATGTCTTGCATGTGGACCATGTTCGTGGCTGGGAGATGTCAATGGACTTCCTCATGACAATGGATATGTCAGCTGCCATAATGCAGTTCAGGACTTTCCATTTGAGAATTTTGGACCAGGACTTGAACGGGGCGGGAGCCCCGGTCAGGGAACTGCAGGCAACGGTCTGGGCGTGAGACTAGTCCACTGAGGCAGTAGCCGCCACCCATTATTGGACTACCTAGCAAAACAGCTGAAATGTTAGGGTTGTCACTGCTGAAAGAGGTCACAGGAGCCCCAAGTGTGGTGGGGGGGGGGGGGCAGGGCATGAACCCTTGCCATCCAATGGGGATGCCCCAAATATAGATAGTTGCCGGAGCATGCACAACCTGCAAAGGTGCTCCCATCTAACAAACTATGGTGAGATTAGATGTTTTCAATTGAGCACAATGTTGCTGCATCCATACAAAACATAGTCAAGGACTCTTCAGCTTCATTTAAACATGAAAACAACCTCATCTGATTAGAGTTTACAATGGTTATTTTGAATAACTGCATAAGACCAATTTCTATAAGTCTAAAAATAACAGACACAGCAGCACAGACTGAATGATTCTTTCCAAGATCATACCTCTGAGGATATGGAGCAAGTTACATAGTACACTCATAATAACATAGTCTCATTTCTATTCCCATCCTTATTTCTCAAAAAATATGTTAAATGCTACCCTTGAAGCTCACAATAAATTTGAATTTTGGGCCCTTCTAGCTTTCTAAAAAGAATGACTAGAACTATGTTAAAAGGAGCTGTCAAAAACCAAGTAGCATTGTTTCCTGATACTTAAAGCCACAACATCAATGACAAGAGAATGCATAAGTCCAAGGATAGGAAGTCTGACCATTGACTATTCTCAAACTGGCAAATAATTAGACATGTTCCAAATAGCTTCAGATGCCACAGATGGGAGGTCATTGTCACAGGTACCCTGTGTCTTGTAGAGGTCCTAGTGTCCTGTGGAGGCACTAGTGCCCTGTGGAAGCATTATCATCCTGTGGAGGTGTTAGTGTCCTGTAGATGCATTGGGTGATGTGGTGGCATTAGTACTCTGTGGAGGCATTACACAATGTCAATATCAGTAGATTTCATGTCTATAACATAATATGTACCATTGCATTACTGACAAACAGCCAATGTTAAAAACCTGACAGCCATCAACCACTGCAACTGGCAAGAAGCTGCCAATGTTGCTTGTTGACCAATTCTGCCTGTGAAAATAGGGCCTTCTAGTTTCACAGACACAGTTGTTAACATTTCATAGTTGCTCTAAGTGTTTTGCAGGCCCAGTGACCCCCATTCCTAACTTTGTATTCTTTCTCAGCATGGTTACATCAAATCCAGGGTGACTAAGAAACATGGGGACAAATATTTTGTGGTTGACTGGCTTATTTGTAATGACAGCAGAAAAACAAACAATTCCTTTGGCACAAAAATGCTTTCATGGTTCAGGGCTTCTGTAACCAAGAATACAAATGTTTGAAGTGTTTAGATAAAAACACTAATCAGGATGCAATGTGATGCAAGTTTGAGGCGAGCCCGATACAACAGCAGAATAGCATTCCAGAGGCGCACTGTTTGGAGTGCGCCTCATAAGTTATTGGCTAAATCTATAGCATTGGTGTGCATTGAATATATCTGATTTTCCGTCATAAAGGTTAAAAGCTTTCATAAGAGCAAACAAGCTAATGATAAAAAATGGCAGCCAAAATCTAGCTAGTACCTGGTAGACACAAATTGAGTACAAATTATATGTTTCAGGAAGGCACAGATGCAGCAGTTCAGGGACCATGTCCCTTGTGGTCTTGATCCTGCCAAAACCAGACTGAAAAATATATGTAGCACTAAAATTGTCATAATATATTGCATGTCACAAGCATACTCAGAACCATGAACCCTGTTGTTTGGCATAAATCATCACCAATTACAGCATGTAGATAACCTAAGTTTCAAGGAACTATGATGCAAAGTAAGTTTAAGTTATGCAAAAAAACCTTCAAAAACTGCCTTCAGTGAGAATATAAATGGAAATTCCACACCAATTGCAGTGTCCTGAGCATTGGCAACCAGTGCTCCTCACGCATACCTGCAACACGTCGGAATGTATAACACAGGGAAGACCTTTTGCAGACTGGCAACTAAAGGAGCTGCAATCCATGAGCCTGACAAGATGGAAACCATAATGACTAGGCCCCAGTCATGCCTTCCATAAGACAATAAAATTTGCAGATATCTTCCAGTCGATATCCAGACTGGGAGAAATGGCTCCTCATATGGACTTATGGGGAGCAATATTCAGGAAGATCACATATGATATTTGGTGACAGTTACACACCCTGTTTCAACCACTCAAATATTCACACAGCTTATGTGTTAAAAAATTACATGAATGTGACCACATGCCAGGTATTTTTACCAAAGGGGATTCCAAATCTCCATGTACATTTCATGCAGGAAATCCCTAGCATTTACAATGACTAGAGCGTTGGCACGACGACAAGTGGAAATGGAAGTGTTTGGAACTGATGACTTTAAAACAAAACTTATCAAACCTAGGCTGTTTATAGAGCCATCTATAGGGCCTATAAGTTTCTAAGGTTT